GCCCCTTGGTGGACTTCTCACCATGTTGACACAGCGCCCCCTGGTGTACTTCTCACCTTATTGACACAGCGCCCTCTGATGTACTTCTCATCTTGTTGACACAGCGCCCTCTGGTGTACTTCTCACCTTGTTGACACAGCGCCCCCTGTTGTACTTCTTACCTTGTTGACACAGCGCCCTCTGGTGTACTTCTCACCTTGTTGACAGAGCGCCCCCTGGTGTACTTCTTACCTTGTTGACACAGCGCCCTCTGGTGTACTTCTGACCTTGTTGACACAGCGCCCTCTGGTGTACTTCTCACCTTGTTGACACAGCGCCCCTGGTGTACTTCTCCCCTTGTTGAGACAGCGCCCCCTGGTGTACTTCTCACCTTGTTGAGACAACGCCCTCTGGTGTACTTCTCACCTTGTTAACACAGCGCCCCTTGGTGGACTTCTCACCTTGTTAACACAGCGCCCCCTGGCGTACTTCTCACCTTGTTAACACAGCGCCCCCTGGTGTACTTCTCACCTTGTTTACACAGCGGCCTCTGGTGTACTTCTCACCTTGTTGACACAGCGCCCTCTGGTGTACTTCTTTCCTTGTTGACACAGCGCCCCCTGGTGTACTTCTCACCTTGTTGACACAGCGCCCTCTGATGTACTTCTCACCTTGTTGACACAGCGCCCTCTGATGTACTTCTCACCTTGTTGACACAGCGCCCTCTGGTGTACTTCTCACCTTGGTGACACTGCGCCCCCTGGTGTACTTCTCACCTTGTTTACACAGCACCCCCTGCCATCCGGGGTCGCAGCCGTCAGGGCAGAGGCCGGTCGTCGTGTTGCAGGGGCCGTCGTTTCGGCACTCTCCACAAGGAAGCTGACAACTGGAGCCGTACCAGTCGTCATGGCAACCTGAAAGGTAAGACAGCTGACATTATCCATTCAGGGTTATGTATGGATGCTGATGTACATCACATTGTTATTAAATTCTATTTCACATCGGCCTCACTAAGAATATCGAAGATTTTTAACTTGTATTCTTAGAACCCAAACAATGTGCTCGCAGTATGTTTTCAGTTTTAGTTTAAATATCGGTTACCAACTTATCCACGTTTCCTTTCCCCCAACTTCTCAATGTCATTTAAGCACATCGCGATGTCCAAATGCCTTGTTCAACCATTGCCAGTTAATATCAAGTTACACTTCCAGATATTCACGTTTCTTTTCTTCCAATATTTCAATGATGAATAAAGACTCTCAGATACCAATTTTTGATGTTCTACCGGTTCCTTAATGTCAATTAGAGACTTCGAGATACCCACGGTCACAGTTGCCTCCAGTGTAATGAGCGGGACAAGGTGTGGAACAGGTGCCATTGTTGCGGTTGCAGGAACCGTTTCCAGGGCAACCAGGACATGACTGATCACAGTTCACGCCATATGTGCCAGTGAGGCATTCTGCCAGATAAAGAAATAACGATATTGGTTAAATGTTATACTTCATCTTGCCATTTCGGATGTTATTATACTTTACTCAAAGCAGCAGGAACTTTGTAGGTATCTCCGCCAACCTACCAGAACAGTCCTTGCCAGCAAAACCAGCTGCACAGGATCCTGGACATGCCCCGGTCACGTGATCACAGACAGAGTTGTCAGTGCACTTGCCGCAGTTGGAGGAACAGTTGAGTCCGAACGTAGAGTTGGGGCACACTGCGGAGAAAGCAGTGACAAGATCAAACTCAAACTAATATCAATCTATATACGAGGGGAGCTGAAATATTCGACAGACAGTTTGCATCAGCCATCCCGACATTCTACCCCCCCACCTCTACCCAGTCATACTGTCACTCTACCCCAAATACTGTCACTCTACCCAACCATCCTATCACTCTACCCCTCATCCTGTCACTCTACCCAACCATCCTATCACTCTATCCCGTCATACTGTCACTCTACCCAACCATTCTATCACTCTATCCCGTCATACTGTCACTCTACCCCCACATCCTGTAACTCTACCCCGTCGTAATGTCACTCTACCCCGTCATGCTGTCACTCTACCCCATCATACTGTCACTCTACCCCGTCATACTGTCACTCTACCCCGTCGTACTGTCACTCTACCCCATCGTACTGTCACTCTACCCCGTCATACTGTCACTCTACCCCGTCATACTGTCACTCTACTCAACCATATGCATCATGTCACTCTACCCCTCATTCTGTCACTCTACCCCGTCATACCGTCACTCTACCCCGTCATACTGCCACTCTACCCCATCATACAGTCACCCTACCTCGTCATACTGTCACTCCACCCCGTCATACTGTCACTCTACACAACCATATGCATCCTGTCACTCTACCCAACCATCCTGTCACTCTATCCGACCATCCTATCACTCTACCCCGTCGTACTGTCATGCTACCCCGTCATACTGTCACTCTACCCAACCATATGCATCCTGTCACTTACTACCCCGTCGTGCTGTCACTCCTACACAACCATATGCATGTCCTCTATTCATCCTGTCACTCTGCAACCATCCTATCCACTCTATCCGTCGTGCTGTCACTCTACCCCACATCCTGTCACTCTACCCGTCATGCTGTCACTCTACCCGTCATGCTTCCTCCTATCCCGTCATACTGTCCTCCTACCCGATCATGCTGTCACTCTACACAATCATATGCATCCTGTCACTCCTGCCAACCATCCTGTCCTCTACCCAACCATCCTGTCACTCTATCCCTGTCACTGTCCTCCCACATCCTGTCACTCTACCCCGTCATGCTGTCACTCTATCCGTGATCACTGTCACTCTACCACGTCATACTGTCACTCTACACAACCATATGCATCCTGTCACTCTACCCAACCATCCTGTCACTCTACCCAACCATCCTATCATTCTACCCCGTCGTACTGTCACGCTACCCCGTCATACTGTCACTCTACCCAACCATATGCATCCTGTCAATATACTCTACTTACCCTGTCAAAATTGTCACTCTACACGAACTATATGCATCCTGTCACTTCTACCTCAATCCATCCTGTCACTTACTCCAACTATCCTATCACTCTATCCTGTCATACTGTCACTCTACCCCACATCCTGTCACTTTACTCCTGTCATACTGTGTCACTCTACCTCCTGTCATACTTGTCACTTATCCCTGTCATACTGTCACTCTACCCTGTCATACTGTCACTTACACACAACCATATGCATCCTGTCACTCTACCCAACCATCCTGTCACTTCTACCCAACCATCCTATCACTCTATATCCCATATTGTCTTCTACTCTCTACCTCACATTCTATCTCCTGTCATACTGTCACTCTTATCCTGTCATACTGTCACTTCTACCATGTCATATTGTTACTTACACAACCTACATATGTATCCTGTCACTTACCCAACCATCCCAATGCTCAGCCCAACTATCCTATCATTCTACTTCGTCGTACTGTCACGCTACCCCGCCATACTGTCACTCTACCCAAGCAGATGCATCATGTCACTCTACCACTCATACTGTCACTCTACCCCACCATCCTGTCACTCTACCCAACCATCCCATCACTCTATCCCGTCATACTGTCACTCTACCCCGTCATACTGTCACTCTATTCAACCATATGCATCATGTCACTCTACCCCTCATACTGTCGCTCTACCCAACCATCCTGTCACTATACCCATCCACCCTATCACTCTATCCCGTCATACTGTCACTCTACCCCGTCGTACTGTCACTTTACCCCGTCATACTGTCACTCTACCCAACCATATGCATCATGTCACTCTACCCCTCATATTGTCACTCTACCCAACCATCCTATCACTCTATCCCGTCATACTGTCACTCTACCCCGTCGTACTGTCACTCTACCCCGTCATACTGTCACTCTACCCCATCATACTGTCACTCTACCCAACCATCCTATCACTCTACTCAACCATATGCATCATGTCACTCTACCCCGTCATACTGTCACTCTACCCAACCATCCTATCACTCTACCCCGTCATACTGTCACTCTACCCCGTCATACTGTCACTCTATCCCGTCATACTGTCACTCTACCCAACCATCCTATCACTCTATCCCGTCATACTGTCACTCTACCCCCACTATCCTGTCACTCTACCCAACCACCCTATCAATCTACCCCGTCATACTGTCACTCTACCCAACCATCCTATCACTCTACCCCTCATCCTGTCACTCTACCCAACCATCCTATCACTCTATCCCGTCATACTGTCACTCTACCCATCCATCCTATCACTCTACCCCGTCATACTGTCACTCTACCCAGCCATCCTGTCGCTCTCCCCCACCATCCTGTCACTCTCACCGGTCTGACAGCCCGTCCCCATCCACCCGGCGCTGCAGCTAGTACGAGGACACTCCCCAGTCATCTTGTCACAGACTTCCGACGTGTTGTGGCATCTGCACAGTTGACTACAGTTGCTCCCGAACCAGAAATCATCACATTCTGCAACAATTCAACCATGGACGGGTCAATGTTTCCTCTGCTGGTAGTTCGGCCGTTTCGTTAATCCCCTGACAGCATATCCTGGTAAGGGATTTACAATCTCATCTGAAACAATTTGTTTCCAGGTTTTGGGGAAGACGTGTGGGTGTGTATATAAGATGTGTGTGGGTGTTTATCTGAGATGTGTGGGTGTGCATATAAGATGTGTGGGTGTGTATCTGAGCGGTGTAGGTGTGTCGATAAGATGTGTGGGTGTTTATCTGAGATAGTTGTGAGTGGCTTCGTATTCGAGATGTGTTTGTGTGTGGCTGTGTACATGACATGTCTTTTCGGGTGTGAATAGGGGTGTATGTACGGTTCGTGAGTATATGGGGCGTGTTTGGGTGTGTATTTGTTGTGTGTGTCTATGGGTGGGGTGTGGTTCGTGTGTGTATATGGAGTGAGTTTGGGAGGGTGTACGGGTGTATATTGGGGGGTTGGGGATGTAAAGAGATATTACGTTACGTACTGTCACATAAATCTCCACTCCAGCCAAGGGCACACTCGTCCAGACAAAAGCCGGTCAGCTTGTCACAAGGGGCGGGGTCCACGCAGTGTCCACACACTTCACTGCAGTCCATGCCGTACCGGCCGTCGGGACACTCTGGGAGATAGAGTGGGATACTGAGGGACGGTAGCACCCGTATTGACGTACATATTTACGTACTGAACAATCTGTGGAGCTGTGCCCATATGTGCCCCTAGTGTACTTCACCCCTTGTTGACACAGCGCCCCCTGGTGTACTTCTCACCTTGTTGACACAGCGCCCTCTGGTGGACTTCTCACCTTGTTGACACAGCGCCCCCTGGTGTACTTCTCACCTTGTTGACACAGCGCCCCCTGGTGTACTTCTCACCTTGTTAACATAGCACCCCTTGGTGGACTTTTCACCTTGTTAACACAGCGCTCCCTGGTGTACCATAACTACCGGGGAATTACCATTAAGAGTGTGTATGGAAAGTTTTTCACCTCTATCCTTAACAGGCGCCTATCGGCGTGAACTGAAATTAATCACAAGATATGTGAAGAACAAGCAGGTTTTCGTCAGGGCTACACTACTACGGACAACATCTTCACACTAACTGCCTGCGTACAGAAATATCTCAGTAAAAGAAAAGGTCGCTTATATGTTGCTCTAATTGACTTAAGGAAAACATTTGATTCTATCAATAGAACAAAACTGATGGACGCACTTCGAAACATTAACCTGAGTGGGAAAATGCTTCACATTATTGAATCTATGCATTCACGAGTGTCAGCTTCTGTTAGATGTAGTGGAGGATCGTGCACGAAGGTCTTTGATTGTCCAGTTGCTCTCAAACAAGGATATTTTCTTAGTCCGGTCCTTTTCTCTCTGTTCATAAATGGACTCACTGATATGATATGACATGAGTGCAAAGGCGGAATACAGCTATACCCAGATCTATACGAACTATTTCTACTGTTTGCCGACGACGTAATCCTAATGTCCGACAGGGTCAAAGGTCTCCGGCAACAGCTCAACATTCTGTCTATATTCTGTGAAACATGGGGCCTATGAGTTAACCTACGCAGCGCCATCTGGTGCACTTTTCGCCTTGTTGACACAGCGACCCCTGGTGTACTTCTCACCTTGTTGACACAGCGCCCCCTGGTGTACTTCTCACCTTGCTGACACAGCGCCCCATGGTGTACTACTAACCTTGTTGACCACGCGCCCCCTGGTGTACTTCTCACCTTGTTTACACAGCGCCCCCTGCCATCCGGGGTCGCAGCCGTCAGGGCAGAGGCCGGTCGTCGTGTTGCAGGGGCCGTCGTTTCGGCACTCTCCACAAGGAAGCTGACAACTGGAGCCGTACCAGTCGTCATGGCAACCTGAAAGGTAAAACAGCCGACATTAGACATTCAGGGTTATGTATGGATGCTGATGTACATCACATTGTTATTAAATTCTTTTTCACATCGGACCCACTATATTGCTCTGTTTGCCAACATTTAGACTTGATGAAGAATTTTAACTGTTTGTTCTCAGAAATGAAACTCTTTGTTTGCAGAATGATTCAGTTTGAACTACCAGACCATGTGAATTGTTCTAGTTTATATATCGATTACAAACTTCGAGATATCCACGTTTCCTCTTCAACAAACTTCTCCATGTCGATTAAACACGTCGGGATGTTCATATGCCAGTTAATATTAAATTAGACTTCAAGATATTCACGTTTCATTTCTACCAATTTCTCAATGTTGAATAAAGATTCTCAGATATCAATTTGTTCTGTTCTTGCGGCCTCTAAATGTCAATTGGAGACTTCGAGATAGCCAACATTCCTTCCACACCGGCTTCTAAATGCCAATTAGAGACTTCGAGATAGCCACTATTCCTTTTCAACCAACTTCTGAGAGTGTAATACAGACTTCGAGATACCCACGGTCACATCTGGCTCCAGTGTAATGAGCGGGACAAGGTGTGGAACAGGTGCCGTTGTTGCGGTTGCAGGAACCGTTTCCAGGGCAACCAGGACATGACTGATCACAGTTCACGCCATACATGCCAGTGAGGCATTCTGCCAGATAAAGAAATAACTGTTAGGTATTGGTTAAATGTTGTCTTTATACTTCATCTTGCTATTTCTGATGTTATTATATTTTATCCAAATACAGCAGGAGCTTTGTAAGTATCTCCGCCAACCTACCAGAGCAGCCCTCGCCAGCAAAACCAGCTGCACAGGATCCTGGACATGCCCCGGTCACGTGATCACAGACAGAGTTGTCGGCGCACTTGCCGCAGTTGGAGGAACAGTTGAGTCCGAACGTAGAGCTAGGGCAGACTGCGGAGAAAGCAGTGCCAAGATGAAACTAATATTCATCTATATACGAGGGGAGATGAATTGTTCACTTAACAGCTTGAAATAAGTACGTACAATAGTTTCACTCTGTCGCACCATCCCGTCACTCTACTCCACCATCCAACCATCCTATTACTATACCCCACCAACCCGTCATTCTACCCCACCATCCCATCATTCTGTCACTGTACCCCAAAATCCCGTCATTCTACCCCAACATCCCATCATTCTGTCACTGTACCCCACCACCCCGTCATTCTACCCCACCATCCAATCATTCTGTCACTCTACTCCACCATCCCTATCATTCTACCCCATCATCCTGTCACTCTACTCCACCATCCCATCATCCTGCCCCTCTACCCCACCATCCCATCATCCTGCCACTCTACCCCACCATCCCGTCATCCTGTCACTCTACCCCACCATCTTGCCACTCTATCCCATCATCCTGTCACTCTACCCACCACCCCATCATCCTGTCACTCTACTCCACCATCCTGTCACTCTACCCCACCGTCCCATCACCCTTTCACTCTACCCAACCATTCTGTCACTCTACTCCATCATCCCATCATCCTGTCACTCTACTCCACGATGCCATCATTCTGTCACTCTACCTCACCATCCCATCATCCTACCACTCTACCCCACCATCCCATCATCCTTTCACTTTACCCCACCATCCTGTCATTCTGTCACTCTACTCCACCATCCTGTCACTCTACCCCACCATCCCATCATCCTTTCACTTTACCCCACCATCCCATCATCCTGTCACTCTACTCCACCATCCTGTCACTCTACCCCACCATCCCATCATCCTTTCACTTTACCCCACCATCCTGTCATTCTACTCCATCATCCTGTCACTCTACTCCACGATGCCATCAATCTGTCACTCTACCCCACCATCCAATCATCCTGTCACTCTACCCCACCATCCCATCATTCTGTCACTCTACCCCACCATCCCATCATCCTGTCACTCTACCCCACCATCCCATCATTCTGTCACTCTACCCCACCATCCCATCATCCTGTCATTCTACTCCACCATCCTCTCACTCTCCCCCACCATTCTGTCAGTCTACCCCACCACCCCGTCATTTTGTCACTCTTTCCCACCATCCCATCATCCTTTCACTTTACCCCACCATCCTGTCATTCTACTCCATCATCCTGTCACTCTACTCCACGATGCCATCAATCTGTCACTCTACCCCACCATCCCATCATCCTGTCACTCTACCCCACCATCCCATCATTCTGTCACTCTACCCCATCATCCCATCATTCTGTCACTCTACCCCACCATCCCATCATCCTGTCATTCTACTCCACCATCCTCTCACTCTCCCCCACCATTCTGTCAGTCTACCCCACCACCCCGTCATTTTGTCACTCTACCCCACCATCCCATCATCCTGTCACTTTACCCCACCATCCTCTCACTCTACTCCATCATCCCATCATCCTGTCACTCTACTCCACCATGCTGTCACTCTACCCCACCATCCAATCATCCTGTCACTCTACTCCACTATCCTGTCACTCTACCCCACCATCCCACCATCTTGTCACTCTACCCCACCATCCCATCATCTTGTCACTCTACCCCACCATCCCACCATCCTGTCACTCTACTCCATCATCCCATCATCTTGCCACTCTACTCCACCATCCTCTCACTCTCCCCCACCATTCTGTCACTCTACCCCACCACCCCGTCATTCTGTCACTCTACTCCACCATCCCATCACCCTGTCACTCTACCCCACCATCCAATCATTCTGTCAATTTACCCCACCATCCTGTCACTCTACTCCATCATCCCGTCACTCTACGCCACCATCCTTTCACTCTCCCCCACTATTCTGCCACTCTCCCCCACCATCCTGTCACTCTCACCGGTCTGACAGCCCGTCCCCATCCACCCGGCGCTGCAGCCAGTACGAGGACACTCCCCAGTCATCTTGTCACAGACTTCCGACGTGTTCTGGCATCTGCACAGTTGACTACAATTGCTCCCGAACCAGAAGTCATCACATTCTGCAACAATTCAACCATGGACGGGTCAATGTTTCCTCTGCTGGTAGTTCGGCTATGCTCCGTTAATCCCCTGATACGATGACGTGTGTGAACCAAGTCAGTGAGTGAGTGTAGTATTACTGTTAGCAATATTCCAGCAATATCACGCCGGGGGACACCAGAAATGGGCTTCACACATTGTACCCATGTGGTAATTCGAACCCGGTTCTTCGGCGTGACGAGCGAACGCTGTAACCACTAGGCTACCCCACCACCCCATCAACCAAGTCAGCGAGCCTGACCACCCGATCATGGTAGTCGCGTCTTACGACTAGCATGGATTACTGAAGACCTGATCTTCACGGGTCAGTTTAGTTAAAACTCAGACTGGGTGTTGGCACTTCATGAGCAACTAGGCCCAGGAACTGTGCTCATACTATCATCCATCATAGTTTGGGATAACTCAATGAAACTAATTCGTACTATTTAAAGTTTTATTTGAACTCACAAACTCAAGAAAGAAAGAAAGAAGGAGACATGTTTTCCGCCGCTGTCAGCACCACTTCAGGTTACTAGTATTCGTCAAAGATCGCAAGACATAACCTTCATCCGATTGAGAATCGAACCTGGCCCTTCGGTGTGACGAGCGAACGCTTTAACCACTACGCTGCCAAATTGCCTCCACCAAGATGGAGAAAGAAAAGTTCGTGGCAAGAATCACAAGTGATTTGTTGCTCCGCGCACGGCCTTGAAACTGATCTGTTTATTTGTCCCAGATAACTAATAGCTATTGCTTTCCCTGGATTTCTCGTCACGTTTTATGTTTGCTGGAGGGAAGTTATGACCGTATAGGAACCAAGCCTGTATAGTGTAAGATTTCCTCTCACCATAAATCAGCACCTCGCAGAGAGCGAGGACTCGGGCACCAGGGCTGCTGGTCACCCCGGGGCTGGTCGGGAAGGGGGGCAGGTTGATCGACACGAACACCCCATTCAGAGGTTGGCGGCAGGTGATGTCGGCGATGGTGGGGAGAGAAGTGTTGGAGACGTAGCACACTGCACCGTTCACTGTTACTTGGAGACCCGCCGTGGAGAAGCCGTCTGAGTGTGATAAATGAGAAACCATAACGACATTGGATGAAGCTCGTCGTACGATAATCGGTGAGCGGGGTTGAGTGGTATTCCGCCCTCTTTTGAGAATGGCAGTTGGTATTGCAGGTGATGTGAGTGCCGTGTATAAAGCTTAATCATTGAATGGGTTAGTGGGCGAGTGAGTGAGTCGGTGGTGGGTCAGTCGGAAAGTGGGTGAATGGGTGAGTAGGTGAGTGTGCGACTGGGTGGGGTTTTGTTGTAAACAATGCATCTATTCAACCACCATAAATGGGCCTTACACAGTGCACCAATGTTTGGAATCGTACCCTGCCTTCTGAGAGACGATCGAACGCTTCAACCGCTCGGCCAACCCACCATACTTAATGTACTAAACAAAAAAAGAAACACCCCATGTGTTACGTAATGTCCCAAACATACCCATATAGAACAATGTGTGTTGCTTGTGGATACATCTGGTTATAGACGTAATGTCCCAAACATACTCATACAGAACAAAGTGTGTTGTGGATACATCTGGTTATAGACGTAATGTCCCAAACATACCCATACAGAACAAAGTGTGTTGCTTGTGGATACATCTGGTTATAGACGTAATGTCCCAAACATACCCATACAGAACAAAGTGTGTTGTGGATACATCTGGTTATAGACGTAATGTCCCAAACATACCCATATAGAACAAAGTGTGTTGCTTGTGGATACATCTGGTTATAGACGTAATGTCCCAAACATTCTCATACAGAACAAAGTGTGTTGCTTGTGGATACATCTGGTTATAGACGTAATGTCCCAAACATACCCATATAGAACAAAGTGTGTTCCTTGTGGATACATCTGGTTATAGACGTAATGTCCCAAACATACCCATATAGAACAAAGTGTGTTGCTTGTGGATACATCTGCTTATAGACGTAATGTCCCAAGCATACCCATACAGAACAAAGTGTGTTGTTTGTGGATACATCTGCTTATAGACGTAATGTCCCAAACATACCCATATAGAACAAAGTGTGTTGCTTGTGGATACATCTGGTTATAGACGTAATGTCCCAAACATACCCATACAGAACAATGTGTGTTGCTTGTGGATACATCTGCTTATAGACGTAATGTCCCAAACATACCCATATAGAACAAAGTGTGTTGCTTGTGGATACATCTGGTTATAGACGTAATGTCCCAAACATACCCATATAGAACAAAGTGTGTTGTGGATACATCTGGTTATAGACGTAATGTCCCAAACATACCCATATAGAACAAAGTATGTTGCTTGTGGATACATCTGCTTATAGACGTAATGTCCCAAACATACCCATATAGAACAAAGTATGTTGCTTGTGGATACATCTGCTTATAGACGTAATGTCCCAAACATACCCATATAGAACAAAGTATGTTGCTTGTGGATACATCTAGTTATAGACGTAATGTCCCAAACATACCCATACAGAACAAAGTATGTTGCTTGTGGATACATCAGGTTATAGACGTAATGTCCCAAACATACCCATACAGAACAAAGTATGTTGCTTGTGGATACATCTGGTTATAGACGTAATGTCCCAAACATACCCATATAGAACAAAGTGTGTTGCTTGTGGATACATCTGCTTATAGACGTAATGTCCCAAACATACCCATATAGAACAAAGTGTGTTGCTTGTGGATACATCTGGTTATAGACGTAATGTCCCAAACATACCCATATAGAACAAAGTGTGTTGCTTGTGGATACATCCGGTTATAGACGTAATGTCCCAAACATACCCATATAGAACAAAGTGTGTTGCTTGTGGATACATCTGGTTATAGACGTAATGCGCATACAGTAAAGCAGGATTAGGCATTAAGCTGCGATGGGGTCACTTTATGATTTCACGGGGACTAGCCGTCTGTAGTCTCATTTAGGAAACATGCGCCATTGCTTTACTAACATGGCGCCCATCATTATTAACGTGTTGTGGTCACGTGACCCCGCACGCGAGCTGGGTCGTGTTTTCACAAAAGAGAGTGTCAGAAATGTAGGAAATTCTGTCAATGTTTCTTCTGTGAGAGGCATTTTAGAAGTTGCGAAGATGAAGGAAAACCAAGTTCTATGGTTTGTCAACTTCTTTACAGCTGTTTCAGTGTAGGTACTAACGCCGCTATCAGCAGGTGATCACATGCTTGACAGCGGTGTTAGTACCTACGCCGACACGTCGCACTCATTGCAATAAAGAAGTTGACTATCCTTAGAATTTGGTTTTCTTTCTTCTGTCAATGTTGTTTTCACGCTGTGCCCTGCATCAGGGCCAGTGAATCCAATCACCGACATCTTGAGTAACATCCACACCACAAACCGAAAAAAAAAAGTTGGGCTTCTGGTGACAAAATTTACCACAAAATAATTATTTCTAAACATCTTCCTAATTTGCTGATACACTACAGGGTGAAAAACGCAACACCCCAGACTTAAACAGAGGAGCATAAAGGAACCTTTTTGAGGAAAGTATATTTTCATCCTGTAGATCTGATGTAGACTTCCCAAACTGAGGTCCCAGGAAGTGACGGGTCGCCCAAGTGCAGTCTGGGAACAAGATCCGTGCTGGAAGTTCTGGTCAGTGCTGCCATCTACTGCCAGTGACGCCGGTCTGGGGCCGCAGTAGGTCGTTGATGTCGCCGTGCAGTTGCCGGCGTCACTCCATGTTCCCTCCTGGTGCGCGGACTGGTTCAAGGCGATGTTGTCTGGACAGGGGGTAGACACGAGACAGTTTTAGCCACCACAACACGGGGAAGTGACCGTGAGTTGTACGCCTTGCTGTTAGCAATATCCATATTCGACCTAACATCATTCAAACCTATTTCTTCGATCAAACTGAATAGAGGCGCCAAAAGTGTTTCCACAAACCCACAAAGACTCCACTAAAAGCATTGTCGATGCAACTGTATCAGAAGGATATGTTTTTGAATCACTCTCAGGTGCGTAGCAAACCAATTTTTTCGTGTAAGCCCGATAGGTTGGAAAGATATTTATAGATAGATAGTATTGAGGGCTTGCCAAACCTTTTTAGCAACAATTATGTGTAAGCCCGGGCTTTTTTATATAATGGTAGCTACGCCCCCGACTCTCAAATATTGATGACAGCAGGTAATCGGCCCACCGGTATCCCGAAACCCTCTTGGTGCCCCCGTCTCTTGTTACCGGCCAACTGCGTTGTTAAATCTCCACCTACCAATTCTACAGACGTCTGGTGAAACATGTCGCTACTCACGGTCCTGGCAACCTGTGCCGGTCCATGCTTCCGCACACTGACTTGCGCATGCGCCAGAGTGTTTATCGCACACCTCCAGTTTGTCCTTACAGTGGCACCTATACTGACACTGGCTGCCGAACCAGAAGTCACTACACTCTGAAAGTAACAGACCGGGACCATTGTTACCTCACTTTGTAATTCATCATTTACTTCGAAAATGGTTAAAAGACTGACGTTTACATATGAATATAATTAACTTGTCATGGCGGATACGGTTGGTAAGGCTCACTGACATACACATGTCATCGTATCCAAATTGCGTAGATCGATGCTCATGATGTTGATCACTTGATTGTCTGTTCCAGACTTGATTGTTTACAGACAGTCGCCATATATCTGAAATATTGCTGAGTTAAACAACAAGCAAACAAACCAAGCCAAGGCTGGTGGGTATTGCGCCGAACTGCCTTCAAATTGTAGATGTTCTTTACCTTTGTTGACAGAATAAAAGGTCATTATAACTGGCTTTATCCATAGCGGCTAGCACGTGACAAGTGGGTTCTTGTCGTGTAGAAATATTATGGATTGATTCTTGTACTCACGGAATATCTTGACTTCGCACAACGTCAGGGACGGAGCAGTGTCGACAGACGACGTCCGCAGCGTCAACGTGGAGCCCGACAACGTCTGGTGACAGGTGACGTGAATGATCGTGCTGCTGATGTCACTTCCGGTGACGTTGTAACATTCTTGTCCGTCCACAAACACCTCGATATAACGCGGTGGCAGAGGAACTGGGAGAGATAATGTTAGAGAATGTGCAATCTTATAATATATTTTCCCTGATCAACTCAAATCTCGGCTTGAGTTGGAGACGCTGTCTCACAAAATTAGGGATAGCCCTGATTTTAGAAACAAAAGATGCTCACTATTGACACTAACTCAAAATGAGCCAGTTACCAACATGTACCAGTTTGTATAATTTGAAATAATATAGCATGATTCTATTAGGCTTTTTTTTAAAAAAAAGGTTAATATACTTTATGTGACATATTCATAAGAAACCATGCAATCATGGTAATCATATTACAGTTATATTCATATAGTGACAGTATATATATCAAGTAGATTCCACGATAAATACCATAAATACACTGGACACAAATAACATACGGAACAATACAGTAAGACGTCATTATTACTACATAAAATACAAAAAACCCCATCTTTTCATGTAAAAGGGTTGCTGTTTTATATATTGACATATATCTTCAAGAAGACGTAATGAAATCAAAGGTTTACAAACAACAATTTTTCTACATCATGGAATGTTTCGCCTTCTTTTCAGAAACCTGTCTGAACAATAGTGAGCGAGTAAGGTTTTACGCCGGTTTTAGCAATAGTCTAGAAATATCACGGCGGGGGACTCCAGGAATGGGCTTCACACATTGTGCCCATAAGGGGAATCGAACCCGGGTCTTCAGCGTGACGAGCGAACGCTTTAACCACTAGGCTACCCCACCGCCCCTGTCTGAACAATAACAAATGGGCTATAATAAGTCTGGTGGAGGACATCACGTCGGGTTTCCTGAAACAGGCCACACATAAAAAAGATGAACTAAAGTGAACGGAATTATTTCCGTGTAATTTTGATTCGTCAGAATTTAGTGAAATATATCTATTTTGACGTAAGTTACTTTTAGAAACCATCACAGACGCAAGAGGAGTCCAATGAAATTTAATTATTTTTTGATGCTGCATTAATAAGATGAAGTTATCACAGAAAAGTACCATTCTTTTGTTTTCATTTTGTCATACATACCCTGGTTAGCTTGGTATATCTGCAGGCTGCTGATGTTATAGGTGGCGCCGAGATCTAGTCTCCACCAAGCTGATTGGTTACTTGTGTCTGTCACTGCGCATGATCCATGCCAATAGTCGGTGTCGTCACTTCCGTCCACGGCAAGCTGCGCCCCATGCGCCCCACAGAACCTCTGCACATCCGGGGCGTCGCGGACACAGTCCGAGGTGTCGACGTACACCCCGCTCTGACTCGCAGATCGGTTGTAGGCTACGTTCTCTTGAAACAAGGGAGACAGAATAAAGTATCGATAAAACAACTACATGTTTCACCTTTGAACGTTCAACCTGAGTTTTGACTTAACTATCAAAGGCCACTTGTCGTGGTTCACCAGGCCGTTTGACGTCAGAGGAAGACACTTTACAATTGCTAACATTTAACATCTTGTAAACTGTTTTGCATGTTGAGCTAACACTGTTGATGACACACGCTGTTTACCAATGACTTTGTATACTAGTAATTTCAATACTAGTATACCGACGCGATATCTACGCCCGTACATTTTTTATTGTTTTCTTATGCATTACAATTATTTCAGCAAGGTAGAAATATATATCATTTTTGCACTAAATACACACTACTTTCACTTAAAATCACGCGCAGTTTTTGACGTATCTAAGAATATATTTCTATGGTTGAAAATAATCCGTTTGTTTAATTTAGATCATTTAGAAAGTGGTTATAATTTGATATTTGTGGCTACGAAGCTCGTAATGTGTCGAATCTGTTTGAAAAGTGCCATTTATTGTCCTCCCGACATGTACACCATACCGTAATCACCAGGATTGCAGTTTTTGATGGAGTATTTGACTGAAGTATTACAGCGACATCTTTCATGTCTAGATACCCCATATGGCTTACCTTGACTCTACTCGGTGTGGGATGTGTACAGTAATGTCAAGTCCCCATATGGCTTACCTTGACCCTACTCGGTGTGGGATGTGTACAGTAATGTCTAGATACCCCATATGGCTTACCTTGACTCTACTCGGTGTGGGATGTGTACAGTAATGTCTAGATACCCCATATATGGCTTACCTTGACTCTACTCGGTGTGGGATGTGTACAGTAATGTCTAGATACCCCATATATGGCTTACCTTGACTCTACTCGGTGTGGGATGTGTACAGTAATGTCTAGATACCCCATATGGCTTACCTTGACTCTACTCGGTGTGGGATGTGTACAGTAATGTCTAGATACCCCATATGGCTTACCTTGACTCTACTCGGTGTGGGATGTGTACAGTAATGTCTAGATACCCCATATGGCTTACCTTGACTCTACTCGGTGTGGGATGTGTACAGTAATGTCTAGATACCTAGATATATGGCTTACCTTGACTCTACTCGGTGTGGGATGTGTACAGTAATGTCTAGATACCCCATATGGCTTACCTTGACTCTACTCGGTGTGGGATGTGTACAGTAATGTCTAGATACCCCATATGGCTTACCTTGACTCTACTCGGTGTGGGATGTGTACAGTACAGTAATGTCTAGATACCCCATATAGCTTACCTTGACTCTACTCGGTGTGGGATGTGTACACAGTAATGTCTAGATACCCCATATGGCTTACCTTGACTCTACTCGGTGTGGGATGTGTACAGTAATGTCTAGATACCCCATATGGCTTACCTTGACTCTACTCGGTGTGGGATGTGTACAGTAATGTCTAGATACCCCATATGGCTTACCTTGACTCTACTCGGTGTGGGATGTGTACAGTAATGTCTAGATACCCCATATGGCTTACCTTGACTCTACTCGGTGTGGGATGTGTACAGTAATGTCTAGATACCCCATATGGCTTACCTTGACTCTACTCGGTGTGGGATGTGTACAGTAATGTCTAGATACCCCATATGGCTTACCTTGACTCTACTCGGTGTGGGATGTGTACAGTAATGTCTAGATACCCCATATGGCTTACCTTGACTCTACTCGGTGTGGGATGTGTACAGTAATGTCTAGATACCCGATATAGCTTACCTTGACTCTACTCGGTGTGGGATGTGTACAGTAATGTCTAGATACCCCATATGGCTTACCTTGACTCTACTCGGTGTGGGATGTGTACAGTAATGTCTAGATACCCCATATGGCTTACCTTGACTCTACTCGGTGTGGGATGTGTACAGTAATGTCTAGATACCCCATATGGCTTACCTTGACTCTACTCGGTGTGGGATGTGTACAGTAATGTCTAGATACCCCATATGGCTTACCTTGACTCTACTCGGTGTGGGATGTGTACAGTAATGTCTAGATACCCGATATAGCTTACCTTGACTCTTCTCGGTGTGGGATGTGTACAGTAATGTCTAGATAATGTACCTAGATACTCGGTGTGGGATGTGTACAGTAATGTCTAGATACCCCATATAGCTTACCTTGACTCTACTCGGTGTGGGATGTGTACAGTAATGTCTAGATACCCCATATGGCTTACCTTGACTCTACTCGGTGTGGGATGTGTACAGTAATGTCTAGATACCCCATATGGCTTACCTTGACTCTACTCGGTGTGGGATGTGTACAGTAATGTCTAGATACCCCATATACCTTGCTTACCTTGACTCTACTCGGTGTGGGATGTGTACAGTAATGTCTAGATACCCCATATAGCTTACCTTGACTCTACTCGGTGTGGGATGTGTACAGTAATGTCTAGATACCCCATATGGCTTACCTTGACTCTACTCGGTGTGGGATGTGTACAGTAATGTCTAGATACCCCATATGGCTTACCTTGACTCTACTCGGTGTGGGATGTGTACAGTAATGTCTAGATACCCCATATGGCTTACCTTGACTCTACTCGGTGTGGGATGTGTACAGTAATGTCTAGATACCCCATATGGCTTACCTTGACTCTACTCGGTGTGGGATGTGTACAGTAATGTCTAGATACCCGATATAGCTTACCTTGACTCTACTCGGTGTGGGATGTGTACAGTAATGTCTAGATACCCCATATGGCTTACCTTGACTCTACTCGGTGTGGGATGTGTACAGTAATGTCTAGATACCCCATATGGCTTACCTTGACTCTACTCGGTGTGGGATGTGTACAGTAATGTCTAGATACCCCATATGGCTTACCTTGACTCTACTCGGTGTGGGATGTGTACAGTAATGTCTAGATACCCCATATGGCTTACCTTGACTCTACTCGGTGTGGGATGTGTACAGTAATGTCTAGATACCCCATATGGCTTACCTTGACTCTACTCGGTGTGGGATGTGTACAGTAATGTCTAGATACCCCATATGGCTTACCTTGACTCTACGGTGTGGGTGTGGGATGTGTACAGTAATGTCTAGATACCCCATATAGCTTACCTTGACTCTACTCGGTGTGGGATGTGTACAGTAATGTCTAGATACCCCATATGGCTTACCTTGACTCTACTCGGTGTGGGATGTGTACAGTAATGTCTAGATACCCCATATAGCTTACCTTGACTCTACTCGGTGTGGGATGTGTACAGTAATGTCTAGATACCCCATATGGCTTACCTTGACTCTACTCGGTGTGGGATGTGTACAGTAATGTCTAGATACCCCATATAGCTTACCTTGACTCTACTCGGTGTCGGTGGGATGTGTACAGTAATGTCTAGATACCCCATATGGCTTACCTTGACTCTACTCGGTGTGGGATGTGTACAGTAATGTCTAGATACCCCATATGGCTTACCTTGACTCTACTCGGTGTGGGATGTGTACAGTAATGTCTAGATACCCCATATGGCTTACCTTGACTCTACTCGGTGTGGGATGTGTACAGTAATGTCTAGATACCCCATATGGCTTACCTTGACTCTACTCGGTGTGGGATGTGTACAGTAATGTCTAGATACCCCATATGGCTTACCTTGACTCTACTCGGTGTGGGATGATGTGTACAGTAATGTCTAGATACCCCATATGGCTTACCTTGACTCTACTCGGTGTGGGATGTGTACAGTAATGTCTAGATACCCCATATGGCTTACCTTGACTCTACTCGGTGTGGGATGTGTACAGTAATGTCTAGATACCCCCATATAGCTTACCTTGACTCTACTCGGTGTGGGATGTGTACAGTAATGTCTAGATACCCCATATGGCTTACCTTGACTCTACTCGGTGTGGGATGTGTACAGTAATGTCTAGATACCCCATATGGCTTACCTTGACTCTACTCGGTGTGGGATGTGTACAGTAATGTCTAGATACCCCATATGGCTTACCTTGACTCTACTTGCACTGTGTCAGGACGTGTGTGCAGCTGCACTAACAATAACCTCGCAGAGTGTGTAATGGTCAGAAATAGAGCTGTTCACGTATGATGAAAGTTTGAAGATGTCGACGAAATTTGACATGTTTATATGAAATAATGTTTTCTATATTAAATTTACGATGTACCAGTAGACTATCTTAAGGAGTATAATGTAGCGATACATGCTCAGTAATAGTCATAGAAAGTAGTAGGAGTCATATTAGTATTAGTGAAAAAGAGTATTAGCATTAGTGGTCCTTCTATGTAGTAGTAGGATATATAGCCGTTGTGGGAGTGTTGTACTTCTACGAAGTAGTAGGATATATAGCCGTTGTGGGAGTGTTGTACTTCTACGTAGTAGTAGTAAATATAGCCGTTGTGGGAGTGTTGTACTTCTACATAGTAGTAGCATATATAGCCGTTGTGGGAGTGTTGTACTTCTACGTAGGAGTAGCATATATAGCCGTTGTGGGAGTGTTGTACTTCTACGTAGTAGTAGTAAATATAGCCGTTGTGGGAGTGTTGTACTTCTACGTAGTAGTAGCATATATAGCCGTTGTGGGAGTGTTGTACTTCTACGTAGGAGTAGCATATATAGCCGTTGTGGGAGTGTTGTACTCATACGTAGTAGTAGGATATATAGCCGTTGTGGGAGTGTTGTACTTCTACGTAGGAGTAGCATATATAGCCGTTGTGGGAGTGTTGTACTTCTACGTAGTAGTAGTAAATATAGCCGTTGTGGGAGTGTTGTACTTCTACGTAGTAGTAGCATATATAGCCGTTGTGGGAGTGTTGTACTTCTACGTAGGAGTAGCATATATAGCCGTTGTGGGATTGTTGTACTTCTACGTAGTAGTAGTAAATATAGCCGTTGTGGGAGGGTTGTACTTCTACGTAGTAGTAGCATATATAGCCGTTGTGGGAGTGTTGTACTTCTACGTAGTAGTAGCATATATAGCCGTTGTGGGAGTGTTGTACTTCTACGTAGGAGTAGCATATATAGCCGTTGTGGGAGTGTTGTACTTCTACGTAGGAGTAGCATATATAGCCGTTGTGGGAGGGTTGTACTCATACGTAGTAGTAGCATATATAGCCGTTGTGGGAGTGTTGTACT